GGAGCCCTCCTCAAAAACGTTCTACCACTCTCTGCAACCCAGCAAAGCCAGAGGGGGTCACATCATGAAGAAAAATGATGAAAAAGCTCTGCTTCTCAAAAAGTGAGATAACACTGTGTAAAAGAAAAATCACTGTTTAGTGGATACACCCCACCACAAACATGCATGCTTCTAATTATGAATTTTTTCATTGGAGGTATTTCTACAAATAGCTTGTGAACGCTACAGATATCTTATCTGAAGCCTTTGCAAGCCCTTCGCTTCTTCCCCAGGCAATACTTTGTTTTCTGTCAAATCACAGACTTCCAATGAGAAGTCTTTACAAGGCAGGTGCTCTGAGTTTATCTCCACTGAGTTAAGTAACCAAGAAGTAACAGAAACAGTAATCTGTTTGACAGCCAGAGGGATGTAACAAGGTTCATTTATAAAAGTGCCGATTTCTTGGACACTCTCTACACACATAACGTACTTCAGCAAGCTGAAATGTTTTAGGAGCCTAACGAGTCACTTCAGCATTCTAGAATGCTCGACTGAACCTTGGCAGCCATATAAAGTTTGGTAAGGTTCAGGGGGAAAAAGGCTTTTTTCTCCACCCACTTACACAGCATGATCAGAGAATCCCAGGCCTGTATCTAAGCAAATCGAGCAGCAACATAGTAAGAGCAGAGGCTAGGCAGTCCCAAACCTGCAATAAGTTTAGGTGTATAAAGGATTGACCTAGAAACCCTCCTCCGTGCCATAAGAAAGCATCAATGAATGTTTGGAGAGAGGCAATGTCATATGGGTTTTCTTCTAGGGAAGCCCTGGTCAATACTTTCCTATGAGACAAATCTAATTGAGCAAGCGGATGCAATCACCCAATCAGATTTGCACATATTCAGCAACTGCCCGGACCCTTTGGAGTGCAGAGCAAAGACGCAGTGAAGAAACACTTGCCCTGGGTTAAAGACATGAGAAACCTACAGGATGAAGACATACTCAATACTCAAACTGTGAAAAAAATAATTTACATAAAAAAGTAGCTTTAGAAAAAAGGAGACAAAAAATCCCTTTTATTCTCTTCTTTTTTTTTTTTTTTTTTTACATGGCCTTCTCGTCTGCAGTGCAAAGGGAAACTACTGGAACATGGTCTTCCATCTACTTTGGTTTGTATATTAGTGTGATGGTATGTAGGTTCTCCATCATGTAGGCAGCAGATAGTTTCTATATTTTTATGTGCTTTTCTATATTCAATGTTGTATGTCTGTATTCATTTAGAGGAGGAGATTAAAAAAAATATATATAAGGTAACATTAAAGAATTAAAGTATTACGCCTGTAACTTAAACTCAGCAATTTCTTTTTGAAGTAAACAAGATTTTATCAACTTTAAGACAAACTGAATTGCTTTATTAACATGTTCAAACAGCCTGAAATTATAGAAAAGTTTATGATTAATCATTCACACAAATGAAAAATTTTCTTCCCAAGTTTACTTAGCAGTGCTATCTAGAAATTTTACCCCTTAAGGACACATGACTTTTATTCCAGAAGTTTGGTCCTTAAGGGGTTAAAGGGACACTATAGACACCACAACAACTTTAGCTTAACCCCTTTAATACCAGAATCATGTCTAAACATTTTTATTTTCATGTTTTTTGCTGTATAAAATCTAGTCCACAAAGCTTCACTCACCCTTTAGTTATAATTACCAGCCCGTAGAGTAACGGATTTCTCTGCCACTAGTCACTGATATAATAAATTTAAAGTTGCTGAAAATGTCAGTTCTCCCCTTGATTTTAAATAGTACATGAAGTCTCCCTGGGTGATAGCATTCTTACAGTCAAAGATGGGGTAGGAGTGAATTAACTCTACCATCTCACTGTCAGCATAAAATTAGCAGTCCAGAGATTGATAAAAAATTGCTATAGCAGTTTTAAACATGTTTATTTGAGAAATATATGGTTTAACTATATTTACTGTATGCAGGTATTATGCTTAAATGCATTCTTTTTACATTCTGTTGCAATTTTTAGTACACTGCACTACTAGTAATGACTTCAAGGTCCTTACAAATACACGTAAACAAGGTTTTTGGACCATTTTTATATGTATATTTTTGTCACATCTATAATATGTGTTGTGGACAAAAATATTAACCCAAGTCATATTAATAAATGCCTATTTACTCAGCATAACCACAATCAGCATTATTAAACCTTATACGTGATTTACCTAAAATGGCCGCTAGGGAGTTTCCCTTTGACATCGACTAACAAGATGGCGCTGAAATCTGGGGGAGACCTCCAAGATACCAGTGACATCACACCCGGTAGGAAGAGCACTAAATGAACCACTTAACACCTAACCAATTATTGATGTATTATTCCATGTTATCTCTTACAATGCATATGATGTAATTTTGCTTTATGAGGGGCATGCCGTCCCCCCAGAATAAACGTTTCTCAAGTTTTTCATTAACCCGAAACCTGTGTCTGGTGTGAATTACTTCAGGAGCGTGCACGCATCTTTTTAAATTTGGCCGGGGGCAGATACGCAAGATAATCAATTAATTGATTGATTCCACATCATTATGTATGGTAAAAAGCACTCTATACTGGAGCGGGGCCTGGCATCGAATTAAAACTCCATAATTAATGCTGATTTTGCTACACACGAAAGCACAGTGTTATCTGCTGACACTCTGTATACTATGAGCATCTTACCGAGCCCAGTCAAGTCCTTGAGACACCGGCATTGAGGCCTACTGACTTTGGCATGCGAGCAGCTGGGAGAAGTAGCCGATCTCCTAGCGTTGTGCACCCAACCCACAGATAAGAATCTGCAGACACATCACCCGCCCCTCTGGACCCATGCTGGTTATCTCAGTCCTCTTTCGGCAACATAACACTTCGACAGAAGCCTGCAAGCCTATTCCCAAGGCACCTCATGGCATGGTCAAGATGGCCGCCGCAATAATACTGCAGCATAACCAGGAGGAACTGGCGAGCCAGAGCTGAGGAGACCTCTTTCAGGCCAGGTGTGACACACTATGCCATCGATCTGTGACATCTGCCCCTACACAAGCACAAAAGTCCCATGCTGCAGAACCATCTAACCGTCCATCTCCTAGGCTGGGGCCCCGCTCGGTGTTACTTCTAAGCCACTGTCCATACACAGGGAAGTAGAGGATCCATGGACATTGGGCTCTAGCCCTCTTCAAGGCCTGGGGCCAAAGGTATGGGGAATGCCGACCTACTTACATTGGGCAGCAGGAAAATCAGCAACCAGTTCTCTACCTTGTGGAGGAGGGGTGGGCTTTATCCTATGTCATGTCATTGTCTGTCTTGCAGAGCTTGCTCTCGCTATCGTGGTATTGCAAACTTGTGTGTCAACTTTTGCACAACACAAAATAAATTAAAAAAAAATTTAAAACAGCACACTCTATCCTGTCTTAAACTTTTTATTTCCCAAATATTTTTATAAAAGATGAACAAATAAGTTAAAGCTAAAAATGGTGTAAATTAAAATATTTGTAATTTTTAAGTTTGCATGTAAAGCAATCTACCCTATTTTCCGGCGTATAAGATGACTTTTTAACCTTTGAAAAACTTTTCAAAAGTCGGGGTTCGTCTTATACGCCGGGTATCGTCTTATACGCCGGGTGCTGAAACCGGACTGGAGAATCTGTGGGTAATGTTAACAGGATTGGTCGAGCTTTAAGTTGCAGTGGTTAAGTGGGGGTAGTTTATACCGAGACAGCCTGGTCTATGGGACGAGTGTACTATAATTGGACAGTCACACAAGGACGCTCTACTAATGCGGAACTCTTTTCTTTTGCCTTTTTCCATGTACCGGTATATGTCCAATTACAGTACTCTTGGTCTCCCTACTCAGCTGACTATAACCGAAGTTACCACAGCCAGCCATTACGTCACCGCATATGGTGGGGGGAGCTCAAAAACGGCTGCGGCCGCATCCCCGCCGTATGCGGCGACCGTATGAAAACAGCAAGGGTGGCGCTGTAGAAGAAGCCCTTGCATCCTATTACCGTACCTCCTTCTCTGCCTCTCAGGTCTCGCACATGCACCGATTCATTGCAGTCCTCAGGAGCGAGATCTCAGATCTGCAGTGAAGAGGCGCAGGTGCGCATGTGCGAGATCTGAGAGGCAGAGAAGGAGGTACGGTAATAGGAAACAAGGGCGGGCCAGACGAGTGAAAGAGGCATGTTTGCCGTAGTCTTGGAGATAGGGAGGGCTGGGCAGGCAGGGAGAGCTGACCAATCCAACCAGCCAATCGCCGGTAAGGTACATCACATGCCGTGATTGGCTGGTTGTTTTGGTCAGCTCTGTTTTGGTTATACTGGGTACCACATACAGTTCAGCACCAGTATCTGTACCTGTTCATACAGTACAGTACCAGTATCTGTACCTGTTCATACAGTACAGTACCAGTACAGTAAATACAGTACATACAGTAAATACAGTACATACAGTACAGTATACAAATGTCCAACAGTCAAAACCCCATCATGGCTCCACCAGCAAGAAGAAAGAAATATGAAGCCAGTTTCAAACTTAAAGTTGTAAACTTTGCCATGGAACATAATAACTGCGCTGCTGCAAGACAATATGGAGTAACAGAAAAGATGGTTCAGGATTGGAAAGCAAATGAAAAAGCATTAAAAGAGTATGTCAAGGGGTAAGTGTGCATTAAGAAGAGGCATCCCACATTGGCCAGAACTCGAAAAACATGTAGCAGACATGGTGAATGAGCATCGCCAAAACGGTTATGTAGTGACACGAAATAAAATACGTTTGCACTTCAGTGAGCCAAATCTAACCCAGATCACAGCAACAGATTTAAGGCCACTGTATCCTGGTGTACTAGATTCATGGGAAGGCATAATATGGTACTGAGGCAAAAGACGAAAATTGCCCAGAAATTATCTGCAGATCTTGATAGCAAAGTACATAGTTTCCATCGATACGTAATACAGCAGCGCACTAAACATGGCTATGCGTTAAGTAGTATTGGAAATATGGATGAAACTCCAATGAATTTTGATATGGTTGGAAATAAAACTGTCCATCAAAAAGGTGAAAAAACTATTTTAATTAAAACAACAGGACATGAGAAGTCCAGTTTTACAGTGGTACTAGGATGCACAGCTGATGGCGCCAAACTGAGACCAATGATTATTTTTAAAAGAAAAACAATGCCAAAACTCAAGTTCCCTGTTAGTTGTTTTGTACATGTGAATGAAAAAGGCTGGATGGATGAAGAAGGGGTAAAGCTATGGCTTGATAATGTATGGAGCAGGCGACCAGGTGGACTTATTCAAAAACGTAGTCTACTGGTGTGGGATATGTTTAGGGCTCATTTAACTCCCAGCACCAAGCAAAAGCTTGCAAGACTAAACACAGATGCGGCAGTTATTCCTGCAGGATTGACATCGTTGGTACAGCCACTGGATGTGTGCCTAAACAAGCCATTTAAAGATCGCATTCGAGAACAGTGGAATGAATGGATGGTTAGCCGCGAAAAGACATTCACATAAGGAGGAACATGCGTGCTCCACAGTTGGATGTTTTGTGCAAGTTTGTCATAAAAGCCTGGAATGATATTGATGAAGAAACAGTAATCAAGTCTTTCAAGAAGTGTGGCATATCAAATTCATTAGATGGTATGGAGGACGACTACTTGTGGCAAGATGAAGAGGAAGCCAAAGCTGAGACCACACCATCTGATACAGAATTCGATCCATACGATGACTGCCTTACAAATGTATCACAAGATGTCATTGATGTACTTATGATATCAGATGACGAACAGGAGGATTTTGAAGGCTTTTAAAGGGAAACTGTCACACCAGCAAAACCTGTAAAAATACAGTGGCTTGCAGTTATGATGGGCGTTGCTAACTCGCCAGGGACTTGCTCTCTCTATTGTTTGCTATCTTCCTCGTATCATCATCAGTTCCAGTTTGGTTGACAGCTTAGAAAACAAACAGCATGGCAGCTCCCATGGGTTTATTGTCTTATCCTTCCTTTCAGCTTTAGAGTGAATTGGGAAAAGTTTAATCCACTTGCACTGTTTTATGTTTACATGTTTGATGACAAACAGCCATATGTTTATAAGTGACAGTTTTCCTGCTAAGTACCTGCATGTCATATTGAAATCAAATCCTATGTTTCTTTTAATTTTTATTTGGTGTGCGTTGGAAGAGGGGTAGTCTTATACGGTGAGTAATTTCCATGCTCTATATTTTAACTGGAAAAGTTGGGGGTCGTCTTATATGCCCTGTCGTCTTATACGCCGGAAATTACGAGTATACACAAAATTGCTATGTTATGATATATTTATAGGCTAACTATGTAACCCTTGCTTCAAATAATTGGTATGCTAATATTTTCCAATCAAAAAGTATGTCAGTAGTGAGGGGAGTTAATAAGGTAGATTTGGAGTATAGATCTACCCCTGTAGTCTCACTGCTCAATTTGCTGACATTTAGAAACAAAGTTAAATCACTTTGTTTATACAGCCCTAGCCACACCTTTTTAAACACTTTCTATGAAGAGAGATCTAATGTTTAAACTTCCTTTATTGCACACTCTGTTTAATTTAGAATTTTTCATCTTCTGCTCTGTTAATAGTCTTCTAGAGACTGCAAGAGCCTCCTGTGTGTAATTAAAGTTCAATGTACAGAGTAGGATATAAAACAGTCTAAAGCAAGTTAACATCTGATACAAGATGAAGCCTATGTTTTCATGCAGGCTTCGTGGGTCACAGCCAGGGAAGGTGTGGCTAGGGCCGCATGAAGAGAAACAAAAGTGGTTTAAAGGACCACTATAGTGCCAGGAAAACATACTCGGGCTCTAGGGGGTGGAAGGGGTTACATTTACCTCTTTTTCCAATGCGGGGTGGGGAACTCTCCTCCTCCTCCTCCTCATCGGCTGAATGCGCAGCAAGAGTCACGCGCGCATTCAGCCAGTCCATAGGAAAGCATTCTCAATGCTTTCCTATGGACGCTGGCGTCTTCTCACTGTGAAAATCACAGTGAGAAGTGCGGAAGCGCCTCTAGCGGCTGTCAATGAGACAGCCACTAGAGGCTGGATTAACCCTATTATAAACATAGCAGTTTCTCTGAAACTGCTTTGTTTATAGAAGAAAGGGTTAATCCTAGCTGGACCTGGCACCCAGACCACTTCATTAAGCTGAAGTGGTCTGGGTGTCTATAGTGGTCCTTTAATTCCTAAATGGCAAGTAATTGTTCAGTGAGACTGTAGGGGCATGATCTATACACAAAACTGCTTCTTTGACTACTACAGTTGTTTTGATACCTATAGTGTCCCTTTAAGTGAATAAAAAAAAAATATATAAGACACCGGAGAAAACAGGTAACCTTTTGTCTCCAAATGAGCTTTTCTCAAACCTGCAAAATGTTAAAAATGAAGTAAGCATCATGATTGAATGAGTCACTTCCTGGTTTGAAAGACTTCCTTGCCTGGAATTTTACAGCAAATGCGGGGACTTAAAATCTAAGATTCTCTTTTATTATTTTTGTAACTCTTTTGCATGCATTTTAATGTAGTATCTATATAATGCAATAAAACAGAGGATCGCCTTTAGCCTGGAATATAGTTTTATTTATAATTTCACCCATTCCTGCACTTTCTCTACATATTTTTTGTATAGCAAGCCCATGTGCTCTTTATCTGCCTACTTCCGGCTTATGTCCATCTTAGAAATTCTTGGGCTGGATTCTCTTAGCAGAATAATGGTTTACTTTGCTTATTTAAAAGCAGTTTACCACTAAAGTCGATGAAAAGTGCTATTCATTAAGCAGAGTAAACCCTTACTCTGCTACATATTAACATTATTTTAAGGGGATGAGGGGACATTGAAGTTTTTGTTCCTTGTAATTTGGCAGAAATTCTGGAGTTACAGTGCTAGAATACCCCTCTTCTAGAAAAGCATGGCCCATATAAGAAATATATATAATTAATAATTAACTTTGTTATATCACTAAAGAACGCATGGATGAAGGGATAACATGTTCTTATGTTATATCATAATCTAACTGAAAACCTTACATTTTCACATGGTAAAACTCACACTAAAGATTATCACTGTAGAATTAAAGAGAACCACAAAATTATATATTCCTTGTAATTTGCTGCTAACACATCCTACATTACTTTGTGAAGTTGATAGCACACCATTAACAGGCAAGGCAGTTCTTAATATATTATCTTATCTTATTAATGCAGACCTTTTGAGTTGAGGTACAAACATTTGCAATAAGTAATTTAGAAGTAATTTTAAAAAATGTTTAAATGCATTGCAGTACCCCATCAAAACTTAGACATGAGACAGGTTGCAGCATAATTTACATTTTTTTAGAACACAGGTCAGCATGTTTTATGTGTTAGATATGGAACAGGATAGATTAAAATTGTCACAGTAAAGTTCTCTCTAAGTACATTTAAATAGTAGCTATCATACTCAGAGCCAGAGTCACAGGCTCTGAACCAGGTGAGCAGTTCTGTATATTCTACTACTTCAACCACTATTCACCTGCATACTATACTATGTTTGGCTTTTTTTATTTTTAAAGGACCCAGAAGTGTTTTCATCCATTGTTTGGTTTGTGTTTCCTATCAAAACACACCTGATCAAGTGATCTGAGCCTGTCCTGTTAAGGCTCAGCACCAAGTGAGTGGTTCTAAACGCCTTCACATTATTTAATTATTATCTCACAGTACTTCACTATTGTAGTTCCATTTTATATCCCCACCTCTAGGTTTTAATACATCCAAAAAGGAGAGGGGGGAGGTGAGTTATTCACACGCATCTCCTTAGCGCTCCACCTTTTGACTGGTGTTGGTTTTTACCACACAGTCTACTGCCATATTTTGTATTTTTGTGTCAATCAGTGAGAGAATTGCACATTGGTGGTAGCAGCTCACACGTAATTTATATATATATTCTTTCCTAAGCGCCTGAGAACACAATATCACTTCTACACCAGTGTTAGGAATAGAATGTTGTATTCTTAACACTATAGTGTCCCTCTGCATCCCCCCACAGCCATCAAAGGGTTAAAAAACCTTTTTTTTCACTTACCTTATTGCCTAGTAGACAGCCACTAGTTGCAGTCGTAAAGGGATACTGTATTCCTGGCACTACTGATCCCTCTGCCTCCCCCCTCCCTCCCAGGTAAATAAAGGATTAAAACCCTTTTATTTACTTACCTGATCCTAGCACCAATGCCCCTTGGTGCTGGGTCAAAGCTCCGCCCCCTCCAACATCCCGCGACAAGTGGGGTCTAATGTGCATGCGCGGCAAATGATAGACGTCCATTAGACCTCCGCACAGGAAAGCGTTGTATCAATGCTTTCCTATCGGGAAAAATCTGATGCTGGAGGTCCGTGAGGATGTCCAGCGTCAGATAACGGACCAAAAGTCCGTTACGATTCTGGAAGCCCTCTAGTGGCTGTCTGGTAGACAGCTACTGAGGACAGACTTAGTGTTGCAATGGAAACATTGCAGTTCTCTGGAACTGCAATGTTTTACATTGCAGCACCAGGTGCAAAAGGTATACAGCACCCAGACCACTTTAATTAGCTGAAGTGGTCTGGGTGCCTACAGTGTCCCTTTAACCCTGTAAAGAAAACATTGCAGTTCATCTAACTAAAGCCGCAATGTTTTACATTGCAACGTTAAGGGGACAGGGACACTGCACCCAGACCACTTCAATAAGATGAAGTAGTCTGGTTGCCTATAGCGTCCCTTTAAGATGAAGCAATTTTGGTGCTTGGATTGTCCTTTTAACTGAGCAGTTAAAATAGGGGTGCCAAAAGGATGTTCTCCAGCTGTTGCAGAATTTCATCAAAGAGGTTTATTTTATTCCGCAACAGCTGTGGATATATTGGCTACTGCTGCGGCTTAGTGGTAAGTCAATGTTTTAAACATTAGTGGTATGTTCCTTTAGGATAAACCATAAAAGACCATTAATCTTTAATGTTATTTCATCTATCTATCTATCTATTGAACTACATAACTATTTTTTGTATATTCTATCCTTAACTCCAAATACAAATATTTAAATAATTTATTTTCCCTCCACCACCCAGTACAGTATATTTCTGAAGTCGAACAGACCTTGAAAACGTAAAGCTGCTCAAATTAGCTTAGAATGAGCTTTCTGGATACAGTTCTAACATGCTGTGTGCAAACATTTTAATGACATATTAACACAACACGTAAATCAACCCTGCACATGCAGTAGCTTAGACAAATGGCCTCAGCACTGCAGACATATTTTTGCATTTATTGCACACACATGTACATATATTTATGTTAGCTAAGTAGCCGTTTCTGCTTTCTACAGCATGTGCATTAGGCCGACAATCCATTCGCGGCAAAATGTGCTTCTACTGCCCTCACTCGTTCAGACTGAATGCCACAGCATGTTTACTGTAAACAATGTAAACCGAGAACATGCAACTCACAGATAATGCTTTACTTGTATAGTGCCAACAAATTCTGCCGTGCAAAAGAATATATTTTAAAACGAATAATAAAATAATAAAAAACAATACAGTCGTTATTTCCTTTTGATTTAAAGTTAATTGGGACTTGTGAAATAAGGTAGAGATATGTTGTTGGGGGATTGTTTTAACCTTTTTCACTGCATTATTATTTATTTATGCTATAAGGAGATATTATGGTTGGTATACTTTAGCAAGGAGAACATTATAGACAAATGTACTGTTTATTAGATAAGTAAATATTTACCCTCTGGATAAAAGGCCAACTAAGTACTTAGTCGTGCATGTGAGAGTGTATTGTATTAAATGCAGGTTACATGAAGGCGGGCTTTGAATTCTGTTTATATATTTAACATATACCCTGAAGAGTTCCCTG